AGACCAAGCAGTTTTCTAGCTACACTTGTTTTGATTAAGAAACACATGGTAATAAACAACAGGGCTGTTAAAGTCAATGTTTTGCTTTGTAACGGTCTTTAGTCAAATGAATGTGCACATACGAATACCCTCACACATCTATAGTTTCTCTCGACTGGTACTGAGCATTTGTATCTTCATATCATTTTTTATCAGGTTTAGTCAAATTTATTCTCTGGCTTTTTTACAAATGAATTTCTAATACATGGCTTATGACAAGACTTTCCAAATACTGCAGCTATATGTACAAAAAGTACACACTATAAAGCTCAGTTGGCAAAAGTTTTGATTTTGCATTATACAACTCAGGAACTGCAGCATAAGACTGAAGCTACAATGCATGATAATCTGGAGCTAGTCTGCATTCAATCTGTCATTCTTCCTACCAGATGTAGACACTACTCCACTGCCAACCACAGACCTTGAGTACAACACACAGCACTGAGGAAAAATATTACAAGATGAAAGAAGGAAAGATATTTATAAGACATTTTAATTATATTGCATATCATTGATGATAAAAATGAGAATATATGACACATAAATTAGGTTTTAAGAAGAAAATCATGGTGGTTTTGAATAAGAAATGTTCACATATTTTTAGACTGTAATACTGACTAGATGCAAGAAACCAGTAAGCAACTTCTGTAATTACAAAAAAGAGAGAATTTCTTTTTTGATCTCCACAGGTGCCTTCTAGCTTACCAGTTACTATGCAGTATCCTTCTAAACAGAAGGAGTATTTGGAAAAGTAATCTTAGGAGTTTGACACTATCATTAAATGATTAGGGTGTCACTTTACCAATAAAACTTTTCAAAAGTTCAGTAACCCAGGGAAGAGTCTTTCTTTCTACAATGTACAATAGCGCCAATGTCCTGAGCTTTATGGTTGGATAGACAACCTGAATGATTCAAAATCAGTCAAAAATAGTTATACCTGTTTGATCAGATTGTAATTTGCCAATATTTGCTTGTTTTTTCTGTGAATGAACAAGTGTGAATTCTCTGCAATGCATGGGGGAAGGGTGAAACACAGACCTTTCCATTTATTCAGCCTCATGTACTCAGTCAATGAGTATGTGCCTTCCACCTTTCACTTCTGACATCCTCAATGTGTTCAGATGCTCATACAAGTTGAAGTACACACATTTGAGTCTGAATAGTAATTTACATAATTTTGTAACAAGATTTAAAAAAAGGTGAGGATAGCTATGATCATAAAACTTGCAATGGAGGTTGTATCACCCAGGTTTTAATGATTATAGCGTGGGGGTTTATGAACAAGCACAGGCTTTTTTTCTCCCTGCACTATCTAAAAGCAGAGGTAAAATTGTTGCAAATAGCTATATTTTTAAAAAATATTAATTCTAAATTCCTAATGAGGGACACTTGTACTTGCATTGAATAAAAGTAGGATCTCCTTATAAAGATAAATACTTTTCTAAATTTACCAAAATTTATTGCTTACATTCCAAAGATATTATGCTGATGGTCTCCGCGATCTGCCTAGACCTTTACTCAGTTTTTCTTTACCTGATGCAACACAGACTTAAGACAAGACAATAAGCTGGAGGAAATGCAATTTTAGGATTCTGCTAGTTGGTGATTGTACTAGAAAGAAAATTTTAACAATCAAATTAGGTTTGCTCACTTTCTTCATAAGTCCTTTTTTGCTTTATAATTATTTTAATTATAAAGAAGATGGCATCCATAGTGATGATCAAACTAGAAAAGTAAGATCATAATTAAATTTTTAAAAATCAAGAATCATAATTCTTATGACAAATGAGCAAAAAGTTTTTCATTAAAACAAGGAGAACTAGTATTTATGAGCATGTCTGGTGTTAAGATTAAGATAAGCAAAAGATCAGATAACAGAAGTATCTATGCTTAATTTAAGCAGGTGTATTTTCCAAACTTTATGCGTGTCTCTCCACTCACATCAAATTCAGTGGTACTTGTGCAATTTTAAACTTCTTATCTGACTATCTCCCCAAGGGTATATATCAGTACTGCCTTTGAAAGTCTGTAATGCACAGTTGTAAAACACCTGGTTTGTTACTTTTTAATTTATAATCTTTGTAATCTCCTTTCACTAGTCTCTCTCTATGCACTGACATATAAGCAAATACTTTAGCATAGCTGTAAACTACATATTGGATTTTACTTGTTTTTTCTACAGATTGCATTTATTGTGCTTATCAGTAAAGCATTTTTTATGTAAGTTTCACAGAAAGGATTGCATAAAATTGAGGTTTTTTTCTAACAGGGGATAGGATTTGGTGCCAAGGAGGTCTCTGGCAGTCATATATCCATATAATGGTATTGGAGTACTTTATGCAGGATGAGCACTGCATGCGAACTATGACTTACAATAGTTTACATATCTCACAAACTGTGCTATTACTTAGTAATTTCAGATTACTTCACTGCCATAGTGAGCTACCTCTGGGTATACAGTCCATAATTTTATGCACTGGCCATAAACGGCTTCTCATTCGAAATAATGAAGATTCTCTGGAAATGAGTGGAGCACATCTGTAGGATACAAGGAGCAACTCTCAGAGATCATACATTAGGTAAGATAAAAGGCATGTCTTAATAATACTTTGACTCTTTTGTTTAATCCTTATGCTTGCAAAAAGATAACTCATTTAGTATTACTTGTGTGGCAGGGTGGAGAAAAAATGAGGGAGAAGGGGGAGAGAGGAAAATGGGAGACAATGCAGAGATAATAGCTCTCTAGACAGAAACAAGATGACAAAGTTATCTTAGGCATAACCTAAAGTGTTTACTGATGTTTTCATGCTAATATGGAGTTACCAGAATAGGACATTAGCAGGGACAAAGAAGACTGTAGTGCAATGGTTTTATTTAAGCATCCAGACTAAGAGTGCCGGTCTGGGTCTGCTCCAGCTAAACACCATCACCAAAATGAAGCAGATAGAAAGTCTCTGTCGCAGAAGTTGATTTCCTTCACTCTGACACTTGCGTATCAAAACTGTTACATAATTGAGAGACACACATGGCACTCCTTGGAGAGACCTGAGTGCTACACTACAGAGGAAACTGACGATGGTGGTTCTGCAGGAATTCTGAGACTCCAGGGCTTGCTTTTGGCTAAATTTCAGAAAAGCTGCCCAAGCCTGTCATCAGCAATCTTGTTTACTCCCACACCCAGGTAGGTCTAGAGGAGAGTCTGTATTTGAATTAGATATGTGTTCCATGTGACTGCAGAGCCAGTAGCTGGCCTCAGTTTCAGGTAGTCAGCCCTCTGAGTGGGAGTTAAAATCAGAAAACAAAGCAAGGGGAAACATGCATAAAGTCTAAACCTCTTGCATGATTTGGAAAGCAGGATACTATTTCATTCTGTCATAAGGATTGGCTGCAATAAGCTACCCAAGAGTTTAGTTCCTGTTGCTAGTCTTAAACTTACAGTACTGACATGTCTTTGTTTGATGTTGCAGATTTGAATAACCTAAATTGAGATAATAATAACTGATTTAACCATAAACATATATGCCAAAAATCTGGAGTAAACTTGCAAGAGGAGATGGTCAGCTGACTTCTGCACTTTACAAAACAGCTCTGTGGGTAAAAAACAATGACAGTACATTGACGTGCCCACCCTCTACCTTCCCCATACTCTACTGACTGATGTAAAATCTTTGCATTAAAAAATTTTAACAAAACTGGCATGAAAGGAGGCACTGCATGAACAGCAAAAGGATCTGCAATGTATGTGGCACAAAGTGTGATAGTATCAAAAAATTTATCTAACAGAGTAAGCCTGAGTTCCTGAATGATCTAGACAGCAGTGGACCACGGGAGTATTTCTAAGCTCAGGTGAATATGAAATCATCATTTTAGCATGCAACCAATAGGAAGAAAATGTCGGTACTTCACAATTACAAATCTTTAATAGGGAAATAGTTATATTAGCGTGAAGACCCTTGAAAGAGAAGGAAGGAACTTTATATTTTGCTAGCTCTCAAAGTTAACAACGTAGTGGGAGCTGATCTATACTAGATGTCTTTTTAAAGCTGGCAGGATAATGAACCCATGCTTTAAAGGGCCAAACCATAAGATAGACTGGAGACAGTTTTCCTCTGCTTTGTAATACATTGTCCTTGATATATTGCAAAAAAAAAAAAAAAAAGAAAAAAGATAAAACCTTAGCCTTAGGTCACGTTTATATCTTCTAGTAGTTCAAGGACCCTTAGTTGAGAGTTACCAATCTGCTTCAAAAATTTAGAGTGAAAAATTTCAACCCATGGTACAGTGAGCCTTAATGTCTTTAAACAGAGTAATCATCAGCATCATACTTTGTGTTATCTGACGAGCTAACTTTCACGTTTCAATTTTCTTTAAAGAAGGCCAAATAGCAATGGTGCAGTGCATATGGTGAATAGAAAAGCCTATCCTCAAAAGGACTGTCAGATACTGGGGGTTTCCATTTAATACCAACAGGCATGGGAAGACTACTTAGCCAATAACAATGCCAGAAGTATTAGTGAATCTTTGGAGGTCTGGGCAGAATGGTGACTGGGGCTACTGTTGTCTTGGACAAGAACAGACTCTATAAATGGGTTTGAGTGCTACAAACCCTTTCTACTATTCAATGCCACTTAGAGGGTGCATTATGCCTAAACAAACAAAATGAGTGATAACACTCCTGTCTCCACTGACCCACATAACAAAATGTAAACTGACAGTGTTCCAATCAATTACTTTTCTAACCCAGCTGGCTCTTTTAGTCCCAATCAATGAGATCACAGATGAAGCACTCATTCCCATTTCCTTTGTCTGAATTAATATGGATTTACTCATGAACTTAACACAATTTTGTTGTAAGGACTCAGTAAAGAAAAAGGTGTTTCTCAACTTAGAAGGCTTGTGACAAAGTGAAGCCAACAGAAACTTTTCTATTTATCTTAATTAAAACATCACTAGGGATTTACCTGAGATAAAGACTGAAGTTACAGATTCCTGTGAAGACCTCAAATTTCAGAGAACTAGTGATTGCTTGTGTATGACGAAGTTCGAGCACTGCTGGAAAATAAAGAAAAGGTTAGGATTAACATCTGTGGTGTCAAGGAAATAAAAAATAGGTATTAACAAGCTCTTGACAAGGTTATGTGTTGATGGCAACCTTCCCATGTCCTTTACTGAGCTACCAAAAAAGTTCATATTTTCCCTCTTTAGAGTTTGGACCTTTAAAACAATCTGGCAGCAAATTTCAGAAGTAAATATATTTTTGTAATGCTCAGCTAACAGTCAGCATTAGACGTGTAAAGCCACATTTAAGGATTTGAATATGCCTGACCTGTTTTTCAGAAATGCTGAACATCAACAACTCTCAGTGTCATCAGTGTTAGTAAACAGCTGAAAAGTGAATAATAAATACCCAGTTTTAACTCCATCCAGCAAATAAGTGCCACACAGCTACTCATGCAGTCTTCTCACAGTGGGATGGGGTCAAGAGAATTGGAAAGGTAAATGTGAGAATATCTATGGGTTGAGATAAGAACTGTTTAAAAATTGAAATTAAAAAAATGATCACCACCACCACAATTGTAATATTAATTATAAAAAAATTATAATGAAAAGGAAAATAACAATAAGAAATAAATAAAACCAAAGAAAAACAAGCTATGCAAACAAAAACAATTTCTCACCACTAACTGACTGATTCCCAGACATTCCTGAGCAGCAGCTCCATGGAAAACCTTCCCCACAGTTTCATTAGTGAGCATGAACATATGGTCTGGAATATCCCTTTGTCCATTTAGGGTCAGCTGTCCTTGCTGTGTCCCCTTTCAATATCTTATGCACTCAAAACCCCCTTGCTGGTGGGGGGCATAAAAGGCCTCAAGCCTCTGTAAGCATTGCCCAGCAGTAACTAAGAAGTCCCCGTGTTGCCAACATTGTTTTCAGCACAAATCTAAAATGTATGCCCATAGTAGATACTATGAGGAAAATTAACACTACCTCACCCAAAATCAGCACAACTCAACACCCAAAATAACCCCAGGCCCAACCCCCAGCAATGCTTTAAGTGCTTATACAAAACATTGTGTCTTTAATAACCATTCTCTGGAAAGTATGGAAGGTTCTCAGTTACTTAAGCATTTCTCTACTTCTGCAAGACTCCAGTAAGCTGAAAGAAGTGAAATGTTCGTATCTCAGTATCCTAGGGTGATGGTATGATGCTTATACTCAGTGAGATGGTGCCTAACTAAATGTAGAGAAAATAAAAAAAAGAAAATCTGAACACTATTTGTTACATCCAGTGGTTAAGAGCCTCACCCTTAAAGATAACATTATAATAGCACTAAGACAGAATCTAAAATACTGTACACAATTTGGTAAGTGTTACATACTTTCGACATGGAAATTACATCAGCAATAACCACTTCTAATTAGGCCTTCTTTAAAACATGGATGGAAAAAACATGGATTGAATTTTGGCTCTGCTCATGAGTCTTGAAAACAAGAAATCCATAAATGTAGTCAGACAACATTTAGAAAGACATAAAAGAATTTGAATAAACTCAATAATATTCCACTGTGGCCTGTTTTTGCTATCCATTTTAAGCCAAAATAATGTCATCATAATTCTGCATATAAGTTTGCCTCATAAGAAATGCTTTAGGATAGCCTACGTAACTCACTAATTAGATTTTCAAATTTACAGAAACAGACATGGAAGTCAGAAGACATTTATAGGGTACAAAGTCATTGCAAATATTTAAGTGTGAAAACTCAAAGGAAACACTACAGTAGGTACATCATTTGTGAGAAGTCATCAAGCAAATATAAAGTTTTCTCTGACACTGTTTTTCAACTGCATCCCAAATTCTATTCAGTACAAACATGTTGGGATTATGTGCAAAATGGTATTTATGTAGGCATAGGAAGTTATTTCTATTTTTATTATGCTTCAAAAAGATCTTTGTTTCACATGACCCAAATTTCAGGCTTCAACTTGTAAGTATCCATTAACGCTCTTAGAAATTACCTAAATTAATAGTTATAGATTCCAGAGAACCATCTTCTCCATTTGAAAAGCAAAATGCTTCTTTTCTGATGTCTAAATATATCAGACTTTTAACTGAAAAAAAAAAGAGACAAATATAGGTATAGCAAAGAAAAATAACTAGTAATCTGATGAAGTGGTCAAATGGATGAATTTCAATTTTACATATTTGTATTTTATTTGTTATATTTATAACATGTGTGCTATTTAAACTGCGCCCAAAGCTTATGAATGAGAAAAAGACACTGTCAACATAAGAATGGGTTTCCAAAGCGAAGAAACTGAACTCATCTACATGTAAGTCACAGCACAAAAATTACCTTCTCTTTGCCAAGATATCTCTAGTGTAACACCTGATGATAAAGAAAATATTCCCCAGTTACACTTGCCCAAGACAGAAAAGCCTAGGTATTTCTGCTAGTCACTGAAATCTGACAAACTGATCAACTGCCTGCAGTGTATTTGGGTCAGTCAGCAGGATGAGTATGTGAAAAACTTCAGATAGCAGGAATAAGTAAAATGAAGACAAAGAATTGGAGCTTCAGTGATGCTGCAGCTCAGCTGTGCATCAGAACCGGAATGTTAGGGAGGTGAAAGATATCTTTTGGCACTTCACCTGTCTTAAGTGTAGACATAGGCCATGTAGTCTTTCTGCTGTCGTCTATAACCAAATACAGGATAGGTGTAATCATAACTGACTGCCATGGTATGCTGCTGTGCTTATTCCAAGCACATACTGGAATAAGTAATGTCACACTCAAGAATTTCCATGTGTAGTCAATGACTTGGTTTAGAAGGAGTTCAAAATACTTATAAGACACACATTTTGTCTGTGGTGGTAAGAAATTACCTCAATGATCTGCCTTAAAGCAGTTCACAGAACAGAAAATTCTTAGCATGATAAAAGAAATTTTATATGTGATTTAATATATTACTACAGTAAAAACTTCACAGATAATTTCAGGTGGGGTTTTTTTCAATTTTTTCTGACCTTATAACTCTTAGTACAATCAGCTAATCAGGCAGTTTTTAAAACTAAACTAGACTTTTCATCTGGGTCAGCTCTTTGAACTCACATTCTGTTTTGTTATGATCGTCTGTATTTGTAGTATTTCTCTGATCTGTGCTTATTATCCACCATCTCAGCAGCTGAATAAGCATTTTACAAGTCTGGGTAACAGTTTCAGATCAGATAATCATTTTTACTGACTGCTCATTTCAGCCAGCTAATCATTTAAAATTTGTTAATGATTGTCTTCTAGCTTTTTATAGAGAACACAGCACAGAGTTAATCTGAAATGTATAAATATCAGATACGAAGTTTTAAATGTAAGATGAGATTTGTCCACAAGACTCAAGGAAGCCACAAAGCCACAATCAATGTCATGTAAAAGGTACAAATTAATGTTAAGCTCTAGAATTACTTTACAATTTAGAAGCTTCACATATATGCAGAAAATATCCTTTTGTAATGCGGTTGAAATTATATTTCTGAAAACAGATGCTTTCTCCTGCCATCTGTCATAAGCCTGTTTGTACCCTACCCTTCTTATTTGTTTAGAAGTCAAAATAAATAAAACAAAAATGTGTCCTTAAAAGCACTGGTAAAACAGCGTCAGTTCATTAATTTTCATACCACGTCATTTTCTTGTGTTGATACATAGCATATTTTTCTCTCTTTTACTGTGAACAATAAACTTACCATAATTTTATTTATTAGCATTTTTTTTTGAAAGTTAAAAATTAAAAAGTTTTCTAGCCTATTACAGACTTAACAGACTGAGGATTCCCTCAGCAAGAATCTGTGAAACGTTGAGGCCGCTTTCTAACATTGCAAACATAACCAAGCCTATGATCAAGGAAGTCTTGAGAAGCAAATACCCTGGTCATGACCCTTGCACTAAAAGCCAGGAAAAGGCTGCTCTGGGAAAAAGATAGAGATTTAAAATCTGTGCAACTGCTCTAAATTTTGCTTAAGGTCAGAATTCTTTCATTTACTATTAAATTCTGTACTGCAGAGTATTTTAAAATTTATTAATACATATAAAGTGCCCTGATAAGATACTTATAAATAGGTAACAGTAAAAAACTCAACACAGGCACCAGCTTATATATATATGCACATTATCCCTATATCTATCTCAGTCTATCACAGCTGCAATGACGCTATGTGTATTGAGTGGATTTGACAAATATTGGCCGATAGTTCACTTTATTAAATCAGATTAAACATACTGGATAGCAAATTTAAGAAGTTTTGATGCGTAACAGAACACAGTAGCTTGATATGTCAGCTCTGCAGGAATGTGAGTTTTTTTTCTTTTTTCTTCTGCATCTTTTGCTTTTTCACAATGATGTCTTTAGATGCAGGCAAAAGAAGCAATAAAAAGGGTAACAATAAACTTGTGCCTCAGCTTGAGATAAACAGACATTTCAAAGAGAAAATAAGAGAATTTGCCCATGAGTTAAATGGTTCAGAACACTGTGATTAATATAAAGTTTCGTTTTGTCCTTCCAATTTCTGTCTGCAGACCAATGAGAATGACACTAACGTGTTCTGATTTAACAGATATTTTACGGCTAGGACCTTACAGTGCACTCAAGTCTTTTTATGACCAGGGAATCACTGTGTGCCCTAGTCTTCACCTTGTTATAAAGAAAAATAATTGCTCCAAGAGAAGACAGTAAGAAGTCTATCAGAGCTTCAAAATATAGAGGCTGGAAAATATTTTATTTCTTTCAAAACTATTGTCTTTCCACTGAACTTCACAGCAACTGATAAAAAGGTACCATACAATCCTGTGGGTCTGTGAAAATATTGGTATGTCGGTAATATTTGTAAAATATTTTAGAATGTTATTATGAATGGCAACATTAAATCTCCTACCATTCAGCTATAGTTTATATGTTTCATTTTTTTTCCTTCACGCATGTTTATTTTGGACTCAGAAACATGCATTCAAATTACTTTCTCAAGGGCAGTTTAGCACCACAGTAAGACAGATAGTACAAT